GGCAAAAATTAGTACAGCATGCAGTAATGCTAAATAAATAAATGAATATGATATTTACAGGATATGTTGTGCTTGGAATCTTGTTTGCAATTTTAGTCTAGATGTTGTACACTAAGGTTGATGCATTTATTATCAAAATAAAACAGCAAAATATGTTTCAATGGGATAATGACCAGAAAAGTGCTGGGAATATGAGCAAAACTAAACTGGCCACCATCTTGTAGTGTAAATTTTGCTTTACGGAATTTTAGTGAATATTCAGAAATTCACTGAATCTACAAAATTTACAGCCCTTAAAAATTTTGCACTGTACGCATTGATGATCACAACTATACACAATACATTGTGTAGTTCCTTATGAGGAAACAGAAGACACAATGCCTACAGTATTCATCTCTCACAACAAGCTGTTCTAATATTAGCACTTATTACTCAACAATTATTAGACAATGACCAGTAGCACTATCTGTATATACTGATACTCAATAAAGGTAAAGATGATACAGTATTGACTGATTGTCCTTTATTTTACTATTAACAAACAGCAGCAACCTTACAACAAACAATCGTGGGGATAGCAATCAGGTCTATCTCTACTACAGCTGTATGCTAACCACAGAATCCATACAACAGCCACAACTACTGGTACATGGAAAACAGGCTTGGTGTTACTATAACCTCTCCCAGCCAGACAGAGCCATATATAGCTTACAGCTTACAATCCTTACCTACCACTACTCATCATGGCTTTATCTAAGGGACCACTGGAACCACTATCAAGAGCTGAGAAGATACCAAAAGCACCTCCTGTACTACAGACAAGCAAATGTATAGCAGCTATTGACTTTGGAACATCATCTCTATCAGTAGCATATATTGCTCCAACAACAGGAGAAGATGTAAAAGTTGTACAACTTCACAGTACATTGGAAAGAGTCCCTAATTCAATACTAATCAGGAAGGACCAGAAAAAAGAATACAAAGTCATTGGGATTGGACATCAAGCACAAAGCACATACAGTGACCTCGAAGATGATGCCCATAACTTTATTTATTTTGAAAGAATAAAAAAATTACTTGCAAGAGATCAAGTAAAACAAAATAATTCAAACCAATAATGTTTTTATAAATTATTCCAATACCTCAGACATTAGATCGTACTACTGAAGTCCCTTCATTCACTGGTGGTTCTTATTATCTTATTGAAGTTATAGCTTTCATACTAACACACCTCAAGGAGAAGCTGTTGATTGATCATCTGAAAGGAAACTACAAGTCAAGTGATTTTGATTGGGTCATTACTGTTCCTGCTATATGGAAAGCAAGAGCAAGAAGAATGATGAGAGAAGCTGCTTATATGGTAACCTAACTTGCTTTGTATTTCATTATGTTAATATGATAGGCTGGTCTGACTTCTGATGGTCCTGGTATAACAAGGTTCACTTCAGTTGGTTCCCCTTTACCATGTCCAGAGGAGGTTAATCCTGAGAAGCTATCATTAGCTCTAGAACCAGAAGTAGCTGCTATATATGCACATAAGAACTCAGAAGTTAAAGGCCTTCGTCCACAGAGATATATGGTAGTTGATATAGGAGGAGGTACAGTTGATATTACTGTACATGATAAGAATACTGGGAGAATTAGTGTAGTACAGCCACCAATGGGGAACAACTGGGGAGGTACTACTGTCAATGAAGCATTTTCAATGTTACTACAAGAAATAGTTCAAGACAAAGGCTTTGAGGCTTTCATAGAATCAGATGCTAGTGCCCAAGCTACACTAAATAAACTTTTCTATGAAGAATTTGAAGAGCGAAAAAAAAGATTTGGAAATGCAACTGATGAAAGTATTGATAAAATAGTAGTAACACTGCCACATGCTATGATGCAGTTCTATTGCAATGATAAGCTACAACAAGCAGCAAAATTTAAGATAGATTACAATCCAAAAAAATGTTCTCTATCGATTAGTTTCAAAGTTTTAGAAGAGAAGGTATTTAAACCCACAATAGATAAGATCATGGAGTGTGTGAGGGCTGTATTTGATAATCTGAAGCGTGATGGAATTCAAATCGATATAGTTTATCTAGTAGGAGGGTTTGGAGGGTGTAGTTTTGTTAGTCAAAAGATGGAAAAAGCTATCGCTCAGCATTGTGACATTCTTAATGATAATGTGGAATGTCCTATACACCCAGATCTTGCTGTTGTAAAAGGAGCAGTAATGTGGAGGAAAGATCCAAACATAATCCAATCACGTGTTGCTGATGCTACCTATGGGACAGGATGTGGGCCTGGATTTGACCCATTAATACATGATAAACAATACAGGTACATAGATGAAGATGGTGAACAATATTGTGGCAATGTCTTTAATGTATTTGTACTCAAAGGAGAAGAGATCAAGGATGAAATATATAAGACCACATTAATACCTCATTCTCAAAAAATCACACAAGCTGATACCCCTATATACTGTACAACAGATGATGGAGTTCAGTATACAGTAGATAAAGAAGGTAAACTAACAGTACGTAAGATTGGTGAGTTAATACTTGATATTCCTAATCCTGATAATGTACCAAGAAATGAGAGGAAATACGACGTATTTATGGATTTCAGAGGTACTGAGATACAAGCAAGAGCTCAGTATAGCATCACAGGAAAAGAAGTAAAAACAGTTTGTGACTTTCTTTCAAAACAAGATTAATGCCAATAACTTCTAGCAAAAAAAATTACATGTAATGTAAGTTAGAATAGTATTAGTATTATAAAGAGAATAACTTTTGTGTTTTTTTAATTTTGAACCTTTATATTAGCATATTAACATTAATAAAGTGACCTCTGTGTGCATTTAATTTTGTTATTTTTAAATAATAATATTAACGAATTCAAATAACATACTGAATTTTGCGCATGTATTTCTCAGCATTCAAAAAACATTAGCAATTAAATGACCTCATACATAACCATGACTACCATTAACTACAATGTATTAGTAGCTACATGTACAATAACTATTAATACCATCTATCTGGAAATTTTTACTGTGATTTAAATTTTACTGAATTAGAATTTCGCAAAAAAATTAAATTACCCATATAATTACAGGCCACATTCAATAATACATAACACAGTCTTATTTAGTAAAAATTAAATTACAGCACAATTTTAAAACACAAAAATTTTCTACTACACCAATTTCCTGATTTACGGTAATTACCATTTAACTATTAATAACTATTAATAACTCACAAGTTAAGGAACATGAGATATTCATAATTAGATATTCTCCAGTTTGCCACTTCTGATTAGCATCAGCCAGATCAAGGTACCTGCAGGGACACACCCCTCACCCCCGTCAACTTATCATAAAGGCTGGTCCTCTTTGAAGTGGAGGATAGGCCAAGAAATATACTCTGACCCCCTCAAAAGAATAATTCCAGACCCTATGAGAAATACATGTATAAACTAACTGGTAAATAGAGAATATTCATAAAATGTCACTTATTAAATAAACAGTGATATCATATACATGTACATGTACAATTTGACGTGTTTAGTTTTATAATTATTAAACAATAAAAAGGAAATTTATGGATTAAATTCCATTTGTACATGTACATGTGAAAATTTTAAGACATGGTCATTTGTCATAGTTGGTGGCAGGGGCTTATCACATGTCATAAATGTATCGTCTCTTAATGGTGTGTGTGACAGAGAAGAGCTCCATCTTAACCACCATCTGTCTATTTGTTTGTTTATTTGTTCTTTGGAATTGGACACCACAATGGAGTAATACAATCACCTACATGTACATGTACATGTACAAAATAATAGCAATAATAATAATAGGTTCCCCTACCTTGTGTTTCCAGTATAATTTCCTCATAAAGGTCCTCTAACCAGCTGATGTTAAAGGAAACCTCATTCTGTTTGCTCTGGACAATATTCTCAATCTATTGATAGAGACAGACAAAGGATTAATGGAGGGAGAATAACAATTGATTGTTAAACAGTTAAGTCTACTGTTCAAAGGATTACTGTATAGTTGAGTGCTTGAGTTCAGTAAAGGAAGAACTAACAATTCTAAGATACATGCACATGTACGTGTACATGTACATGTAGAGTTAACAAAAAATCTCTAACAAATATAAACTTAAGAAATCTGTTTTGAAGATTAGAGATCAGTTCTACAAAGCACAGTACTCTGTACCAAAGTATTTCTTTTCAATGTACATGTCCATGTCATGTACAGGCCAATAATTGAAAGAACGTACATGTACATGTATTATTTAAATTGTACGATAGTGATATTTCAATATTTCAGGATTGCATTATATCAATTAATGTATAAATAGAGCAACATACATGTACATGATTAATTAATTAATAATTTATAATTTACCAGTAAATTTTGGTCTTTCTTTCCAAGCTTGACTGCTCTCTCCAACTACACAAAACATTCACAATAAACTGACTACACCCACCTG